TGTTGTTTATAGTATTTTGTTTTCGTTTAGACTTTCTTGTGAAGTTTTGATGTGTAGTTTTTAGTGTTCTTTTTTCCTCACCTGGACTTTTGGGGGTTTTTAATTGTTTTCTGTGATTCGACTTTTCTCTTTTTAGATATCTTTAGAGTCTTTTTTCTGTTGTTGTTGTTTTTGTTTGTTTGTTTGTGCAGTTATTTGTGATTTTCTTGGGCGTTTGAACTTTTTAGAGCTATGGTTGCTGTTTTTTGTTTCAAATGAATTTCTCTCCTGGAGCTTCTAGAGTTCTTGTTACTGCTATATTCATATTGTTTTGCATCTCTTTGCAGCTGTGCATCTCTCACTTGGAACTTCTGGAGTGATTTATTGTGCATCAGCCTACAAGTGTCATATATCTTTCGCTTGGAACTTATGGAGTTCTGGTTGCTATTGTTCTATCAATAGAGATCTTTCACCTCTTTCTTAAGGTTCTACAATTCTAGAGTGGTTTTCAAAGTTTGATGTTTATTTGGGTTGGTTTTAGTTTGTCCGGACATTCCTATTTTTATCATCTTTCCTCTTTTAAGTTTTTTTGTTAGGTTTTGTTTCGGTATTTTCGTATTTCGTTGTCTTGTAGCCATCATTTTTCCCAAAAAAGAAAAAAACAAATAGATTAAAAAACTTCGCCTTATATATCAACAACAACAACAACTGAATCGAATCAAAATTAAGCGGCGAATTAAATGAGAAAACAAACATACAGCTCATTTGTTGGTCTAAATACACGGGGCCGCAAAGTGCGGTGGTCCGCTGCTTGCTACCACATAATCTATTGAGTTGCTAGGCGAGAGAGCAGGCCATGAAACATCTATTCAGAAAACTTAGATTAGAGACGAAAAAATAATTTCTCACTGCCCCATTCGCCTTCTTTTCTTTTCCCGCTCTGTCATTCAATGTTTTTGGTTCCGTTCTCCATTAACGGTGTTACCTATTCTTCATCCCAGGTGACGATGTCAGCTCGATTTTAGCTAAGGTAGAATTATTCTGCTAATTTCTCTGCCATTAATTATGGTGAACGTTCTATTTTAAATTTGTTCTTTTATTTTGGCAATCTGGTGTTCTACTTATCGCTGCTGTGACTAACCGTAATTTTTTTTGATAAAATGCATCACAATTCATAAAATTGGTAGCCTATTATAATTATCTGGATAAAATAATGAGACTAATTACGGTGTTTGTTATATAATTACCAATATTTAGTTCTAACTTCACTGTATTTGGTCCAAAAGTATGGAATGCTCTTAGAATTAAAGGCACGCGACTGTATAATTTAGTTCATTAAGGCGTTGTTAATCCGAATTTGCTCTATTTAAGATATATCAAATCCAATAAATTCGATAATCTATGCGACAAATCCGACCCATAATTAAATTTATTAAATCAGCATTGAATTTATTTTCATTGTTTTATGTTTGACTGGAGTTATGTTAAATTTATGATTAAATCTTATTTAATTTATGCTGCCAAACACCGCCTTAAAAAAAATTAAACAAATATTCGAGAGAAAATATGCATGCATCAAATTTCAAGCTTTACATAAAAAGATTATATTCATGTCAATCTCAAAAACACAATATTTCAAAAGTCACATATTATGTGTCAAATAATAGTATTATCCAGATAATGAAAAATTATTCTATACAGGTGTCAGATTTGCATCGCTCGTCACATTCCATCAATTTTTTTTTTAAAATAATAATAAAAAAAAGGGTCCACCGAAATACAACTTTTACTGTGATGTGCGGTCCAGATCGGACACCGCATTCATATCTGTATAGGGTGTTTGCATATGTTGCCCGTATGAAATAATTTTTCCACTCAATTCCATTTGCTGCTAAGAAACAAGCATATAATTTTAAAACAATATGTGTACATTTAATTCATTTGCATAAATATGCATATACAAATCCTGTTGAAGTGAATTTAGATTCGATTATGTGCTTGTAGATATTAATCCGTGACAACCACCCTTACAATGAGCGCCGATAGCCGAAGAGAAACCGGAATTAAGCAAATAGTGAGGCTGAAGCAAGTACTTAAGAAATGGCATCATAATACCGTCGGCAATAACCCAAATCCGACATCCTCCACCGGCGGAATTCCACCAGCGGTGAACAAGCGGCTGAAGGCGGTGGTTGATCGGAACCGCGACTCCGATGAGGACAGCTGCAACAGCCCGGAGGCACCGCCGGACGTTCCGGAAGGATATATGCCGGTGTATGTCGGGCAGGAGAAGCGGAGATTCGTGATCCCGATGACTTATCTCGGCCAGCCGGTGTTCAGATTGTTGCTGGAGAAGGCGGCAGATGAGTTCGGATTCGACCAAATGGGTGCGCTCACTCTTCCCTGCGAGATCGAGACATTCAAGTTCATTCTTCAAGTAATGGAACATCAACAGAAGGGTTTCATTGACGATGGTAACTGCATCATTCATTCATTCATTCATTCGTTCCTCTCTTTAATTAACATTTCCCAAATTCAGATTTAAAGTTTGTTCTGTGTTGTTTGGTTTTGTGATATATATATCTTTTTTTTAATTGGAAAATATTAGGGTCTTTTTGGGGCAGCTCGTATCGTTTGGTTTGCGCGTTTCGCCAGCTTATCCGACGTTTCGGTTTTTATACTAAACGCATGCCGCGAGTCGACCCCTGCGGCCCGGGCCGCGTTTCAAAATAAGCAGATTATCCCGAGGCCGCGAGTCGACCCCTACGACCCGGGCCGCGTTTCAAAATAAGCAGATTATCCCGAAACGCACAAACTGCCCCAAACAGACCCTTAGTCTTGCCATTAAAAATTATAGTTGGGGCAACTTCTTATAAAATAAAATTGTGAAAAATTTGTCTCTAAGAGTTTGTTAATAAGCTTAGGGAACATTAAAAGTCAAAAAGTGTTTGATATGATAAGTAGGAGTTTGGGAAAATGTTTAATTTGAACCACATGTTCAAACTTTATGCTATTTGTTAGGTTTCACTATTAAGTGCTTCTTTTTTGTTAGTGGACTTTTTTGTAAAATATGTTTGTGACTAAATTTTATCATCAGCCCTGTTTTTTTTTTTTTAGGAAGCATCAAAACATTTTAAGCAATTACTATATGATGTTTAGCATTTTGCTTTTGAATTTGTTTCAAATAAGTTAATTGCATAATGCGAAATTATTTTGTTTATTTGGAATCACGAATTATTATATATTAAGCATGTGATTTATGTAAGTTTTTACATAATTATTACTAATGGATTCTCTTTTTGACCTTTCAATTCCGAAGAAGGAACTTCCACTGACAAAGAAGAATGATCCAGTTGTGTGAGCTGCGGGCTACTCACAGATTACTTCATTCATGATTATTCTTTGAACTGCACAGGGGTTGGGCTCTTTATAAGTTCCAGTTAAATTTTTCTGTAATTTGATAAACCATTACTTGGAAGTTATTTAATTATACAATACTACTAGGTATTTTTTTTCTTATTTTTTAATTTTTGTAAGGAAATGATAAAAAGGATTATTAGTTGGACTGTGTTTGAGACCATTAATTGGTGAGGTCATTATGTTGAACTATTGATTATTCCTTATACTGCATACAATAATATAACTTCTTTCTTCTTGAAATTTCATTCATCATCTTATTTCAAAATTTAAATTAGTCAAATGTGAGTGGGCTTAAGCATTGTTTCACTCAATTTAATAAGGAAAAGAAGCTAAGCATGATGTATTTGTTTAGCTTGTCGATATGTCAAATCAAACAAGAACTATTCATGAGTATAAAAGTTCACTTGAACATCTCATATCAATTATAGAATTTATGTCACCACACACAGATGCACATTTGTATAATAAAGAAATAAGGATTATGTTCTTAAAGTTGCACGAAGACTCCAAACACATTTTTAAATTGAATTGTGCTTGAGCAGTTTATATAAAACAGGGATTTATATATGAGAGTTTTAAAATAAAATGTTATTATGAGGCATAGCACAATTTAAATGATATTGTCATAGTATGTTATATGTTATGAATAATACTATTCCATGCTATAAGAGAATGCATTCATATAATGTACAAAACAAGAACTATCTAAGGATGGGTATCATCCTTGAACCTTCAATTGATTTAAGTTATAGTTAATTTGGGCTTATAAGGGTCCTATTAGATGTTTGGAATGGTGTAGATGCCTTTGGGTGGATTGGTGAAGTGATGTTAGGAGGATCAGGTGATATGAGTTTGTCAAGAAAGAGTGCACATTTTGTTGAGACCCTAGTTTTAGTGCTTATTATATTAATGTGGGGAAAATAAAAAATATCATAGGTTAAAAACTATTGGAATAGTGACCTCTACCAAATTTATTGTCAATTCGGTAGGAACAAGTATACGTATTGGTAATATAAGATAGGTTAAGTATCTTCACTACAAGAATATTCATCCAATGAGATAAAAAGGTTTAAATTTCTATTCACTACTTGTATCCAACACATGAACTTATTATAGCTCAAAAGCAAGGTAATTAAATTGAATTTTTAATTAGGTTAAACATTCCTTCAATTGGTGCCTCTTCACTAAAATCCACAATCTTAAGTTCAAATGAAAATTCCTTCTCAGTCGAGAACAGTTACATTTTCTAGTCTTTATTGATAATTTAAAAAACCTAATCTTTAATAATTAATATAATAAATGTCTTTATGTATTATTTCAAAAAGATTGAAACATGCACATTTCTTTATTGCTTGCTAAAGCTTATTGAATATATGTGCTAAAGCTTATTGGATATATTGGATATACTCAAAATGAGGTTTAGTAACACTAAGCCCTACATAAATCAT